ATGTTTTGATCACTTAGGATTCATTCCTAATGATTTCCAGGTCTCCCCTAACAAGTGGTATAGTCAATGTGCATGGTACTGGCTCCTTGTGTTGTCACTCTTCTGAATTGTTTTATTCGTAGGGACACAAAATTACTAAATTTTAGGTTTGGAATGACTGAGATTATCTAGCTGAACTAACACTTCCTTACTGAGATAGTGCCTAGCTTGTCTGTGGGTCTTTGCACAAAGCTCAAACTGCTCCGCTGATGAGAAATACAGAGAAATGATGACGTGTTCTGTGACTTCAGAAGAAACCAGCTCAGCAGAAGATTATTTCTGATGTAGCACTGACGCTAAAGAAATATCGATGCCATCAAACAAAATGTTCATGTAAAAGATACTCGATTTTTAGTTTTTGCTAGTTATGTTATATTAAAAAAAAAAAAACTTCTCACTACTAAAGGCAATCTATTAAAATATTACAGATGATTTTGTTAAGATATTATTGGCATATTCTAGGTAAATAATAAATTACTTCCATAGAAAATGAATGCCTTCTTCCCTTTTCAAGAAAGTCGTTTTAACTGCTAGCCGTGTTTGTGAATCTAGTGTCATGTATAAGCTTACAGAGGCCTTGGAGGAATTTGTGTGACTAAGGGTTCATTCACAAACTTTGCTTGTCTGTTGCACAGGGGCTTTGGCTATTTCCTCTGGGGACATTATTTCTAGGTAGGCTCTAACAGGGTTTCTTGTGAAGGCAGATTCTTACAGAAAAATCAGATCTGTGTACATTTGACACATTTATCTTTGAAATAGTGTGCTCCTGTTCATGAATTTCTCTGCTGTATTTGATAAAGTCAGAACTTTTCTGTCCCCTTCAGCCTTGTAATTCCTTGAGACATAGTTCTACTGAGGAGTTATTATACCTTTGTATTTTTTACTGACCTTAAAACTTGATAAACAGACAGGAAGACCCTAAGAGTCCTAGACGCTAAAACTCTGAGGCATGATAAATACTTCTCTTCCTTTGTTGGTGACTTATTCTGATAGACTGACACATTTCCTATCCGTGTTGTTTTTCTAAGTATCGTAGGAGTTTTATTTTCTGGGAAGTGTTGGTTGCTGGTAAATAACATGTCCAGACTGTAGGAGGCAGCCACACAATTTATCATAGAATCCTGAAAGGTTAAGGCTGGGGAACTGGGATCCTAAAATCACACATCGTCTTCATTTCACCTATAACAGATAAAGTGACTTCACCCGACTGGTAGTGAAGAAAGCTGAGAGTCAAAGCCTGGTCAGCTACATCATGGCTACCTCTGTCTCCCCAGAAACAGCTTCCATCTGGGAATCCAAAAGCCCAACTACACAGCTCCTGAGCTCTCTCCCCAGCCTTAACCTCAAATGTCAATTATGTCTATTCCATGTCTTGATGTGTCTTGTCACACAGCATAGCGCCAATCTTACTAATAGGACTCTGGCAGACACCCCCGTCTGCTTCTTGAAGGCCCTATGTGCCTTCTTTAGCTTGTACAGAGCCCAACATAAGTGGGCCCTTCATAAGTGCTTTTTGATGACAGCAATGATTGCCTTAGTCAGTGTGGTCAGGCCCCTCCCATGTGGAGGAGGAAAACCAACAGTTGTTGCTAAGCAACATTTAAAGGACTGGGTTGGTTTTTGACTCTGGGTGACCTCCATTTGCGTACTTCATCGTGTTGTGTGTTTTATGGTTGCCTTGAGTTGACTTTAAGTTTTTGTCACATTGCCATGCCTTTAGCAAAAGGCTCATCGGACGATTATTTAGGCCCTGGAAGGAGGGGTTGGTATTCATCTGTTAACTACTTACTTGAGTGTGCTGACCTCTTAAGCAAGGCAGGAGAGGTGAGGGGCTTGGTTTGCTGCCACCCATACCTGAGATCTGCCCCTCTCTTCCCACATTGGCAATGTATTCCAACAGGGTTCTGTGCCAATGGGAGGCCATGGAAAGAAAATAAGGAGGAAAGTCTCTTCTAATCTTTTATGATTAATGTTTTACCTGCTCCTGTTTTCTGAGGTGTGGGGCCAATATGGCTAATAAAGAACTGGGCCCCACCCTCTTCAGGCTGCCAACTGTTGTGGTTAACCAATGTGTCCAATACATCTCACTATTTCTACTAGAATGAAAGCTGATTAAAAACATGAAGAAGTTTTGTTTGCTCACTTATTTTTACTGCTATCTCTTCACTGCTTTGCCAGGTCATTTTAGGTATTCAATACATATTTATTAAATACATGATCAAATGGCATGATTGATGTACAAACTTGATTATCTCCAGAGCATTCCCAAGTATTTCAGAGAGACCAAAGGAACAAAAATAAGGATGCTTCTTTGATTGAATGTTACATTTGGCTTAATTCTTATGCAGAGAACATTGTGGAAGTAATCCTCCATCTCTGGTCTTTTTGCAGATTTGGTTACAGTGGTCCAAGTGAAGTTTGCTTGTTTGCCAGTCTTTAACAGATTGATAAGAGCACACAAATTGTCTTTCCCAGGTTCTAATTCTTCAATGTAAATGTCTGTCTTTTGAGGGCTGATGAGGAGGGACCATTGTGACTGAGCAGTTATATCGTAAAAAATAAATAACTGGGGATTTATGTGATTCACTTAAGCTCAAAATTGCACAGAGGTTCAATAAGCAAAATATACTGAGAAGACTGATTTAGAGATGCTTGGTTACTGTTACTAACATGTTGTCTCCTGGGAAAATACAAAGAATCAGGTAGAGTTACCCACAATAAAAGATGGCTGTGCCTTTTCCAGGACAGTGGCCCAGCAGGCAGGAATATTAGCTTCACCACAAAAGGCAGGTCTTCTTGGCATCAGCATTGGCAGGACCGGACCAGGGGCTTAGATGTTTGAGGTGAAGCCATTGTTGGGTTCAGGATACTCATTTGAAAGGGGAATGCCTCACAGGAAAGAAAGCCAATTGCAAGTTGGGGCTGTTGCCATGGTGCTTTGCTATATTCCTCCAATTTGCTGCACAGGAACTCCTGGGAGTCCAGGGGTAGGAGAGGAGGGAGGGACGGATGGGATGGGCTTGGGCTGGGAATCCCACTGCAGTAGGGCTCTATTCTTAGACCTTCCTCTTGCCTATTCGCTAAAGCTGACAGGGTGAGCGAAGAGAGGAGGGAGAGGGAGAGAGAGAGAGAGAGAGAGAGAGAGAGAGAGAGAGAGACCTCTATAGGAAAGGAATGTTTTTCTCAACATGCCCAAGGTTGCTAAAATAAAATAAAAATAATTTAACTTCTAAATACTTCTAACATAAATTGCAAGATGTAGCACTAAAATGCCAAATAAGCCATCACTCATAGCTGCAAATAATTCACCATTCATACAGCAGGATATTTAGTGTTTCCTAACACACTGTAGATCCTAGATGGAAATATTAAAGGAGCTCAATCCATTTGTCAAATGCATTCTAATATGCATTTTACTGAGCTGAAGGATTGCATAAAATTTCATGCTGCATATGAAGTACTTTTCAAATAAAACAAGTTAATCCTATTCCCATTCATTTTATTGTGAAAAAAGGCTGCATGCCTCAGCACACCATCTGTGGGCAAATAATCCCCCAACAATCTTGTTAAAAAAGCAAAACAGAAGAAAACAAAACTTCTTGTATACTGGAAACCTAGTCTGTGAACAGCCATAGTCCTAACCTTTTGCCATTTTTAAAAAAGGTTCAGAGAGTAAATGAAGCAAGGGCACCAAGCCTTTGAAAGGATTGGAGGGGCTGAGCGTTTCGCAGAGCTGCATCGGCAGCCAGCAGGTCTGTGGTGGAGAGAGAGGGTTAAGGAACACCTAGTTGAAATGGGGGAGGGTACGGACTTCAGATTTGCTTAAATATTCATGGGGCTTCCTCCATTTTAATCTTCTCCTTTTAAAAAGATGGCTGTGTTTCCCTGCCTGGCAAGTCCTCAGGAAAGAATTGCTGCTTCGTTGCAGAGTTCAGCTGAGTAGGACTAATCTAGAGTGGAAACCCCTTCGGCCACCAGGACTATTCATAATTCATAAATGCTGCAAAGCAGCCAGCTGAATACATTTGGACAGGCTCTTGCTCCTTCGTGCAATGCCTGATTTCATTACTTTCTCCTGCCAGGAAATAAGCAGGCAGCACAGACTTCTTGCAAGAATGGAGTGCGAAGATGGGTTTTGCTTGGATTAGGAAATGCCAGCAATTTTGGAAGCTTTGTCTTTTCTAAGTTGTGATTCTTTTACCACTGGATCTGCAGGGCTTCCCTGCTCTTTTCGGGACTGCTCTCTCAGAACTGTGAATTCTTTTCCAAGGGATTTGTGGATTGTGGCAAGGAGAACATCCAAAATGCCTGAGGCAAACTATTTGTTATCTGTATCTTGGGGTTACATCAAGGTGGGTTAATTTGATTTGTGTTATTTGTCTTTGATAGAATGTGAAACACATCTATATGTTTTCTGTGAAGGAGAAGACAGCTGTAATGATTTATTCTGTGCATTAATTTGACCCAATGGGGTTTCTGACTATGAAATAAGGGCATGTTACATTACATTGTATTTAAACAGATTGTGCCATATTTTAATTCAATTCATTTTAGTCAATTCTGTCTTTTAATGGATGCCTCTTTTTTCTTTAAAGTTTTCATATATGATCTCCTCTTATTCAATATCAGATTATTAACTCAAATGATATTTTAATTTCCAAGGCATGTACTTTTAAAAGTAGTTTTATTTTAAGTGAAATTATCTTGACCTCTATTAAGATCTCTTTTTTATGTTTGCATCTTGCAAGGAAATAAAATATTAATTTTCACAAGTCTTAAGAAGGTGATATTAGAATAATGTCAAATGAAAGAGCCACTGTATTTTGTAGAACCAGTATTATTTATCTAGTGGTATCTGCTTGTTCAGTCTCTTGGTACCGGGCAGTAAAGTTGGAGACAATTTAAAGTCATAATTTATTCTTTTTCAGTTGGTTGATGCATTTTTGTTCTTTATTAAACAGTTCAAAAGAATGCTGAACCGGGAGCTGACACACCTCTCAGAGATGAGCCGATCAGGGAACCAGGTGTCCGAATACATTTCAAACACTTTCTTAGGTAAGACATTAATGGGGAGAAACCTGTCCCATAACAGCTTTTCTAGCAGGATTCTCTGCAACTCATCAAGCATCCCTATATGAATATGGAGTATGTTTAGGTCCTAGAAAACCAAACTCATGTAAAATAAGAACTAAGGACATTTCTTATGGGGCAAAGTAAAAGAAGGGAAATGATTTTTTTTAAAAACTGAATGAAAATATGTATGAAAAGCAGAAGGCCATTAGGGACTGATTGGATTTACCTGGGCACAGTCCCCCTACCTTCTCCTGATCCAGTTCCATCACTGTTCGGACCTCAAGGTGATGGGGGGCCAACCCCTCACACCTGAGAGACGGCTCCATTGACTCTGTTGACATGGTATTCCTTACATTTGTCCAGCAACTGGGTTTCTTTTAAAGCATTTTGTAAGGCATGAGGCTCAGGAATAATTCTGTACTGATCTTGTCCATGAGAATGAGCTTTGGAAATAGTTGGACAAATGCTTTGCTATTTCTTAAAGATAAATGGGCAGGGGAGGGGGGTTGGGCTTTCATCTCTCTGAAAGATTTCATTTTCTGCAACCAGCAGTCTTATCTCCCCAGTCTGGTCCTTTTTCTATTTGTCATTGTTGCTACATTGCTAGTATCTAACCCATGACGCTAACTGAAAAGGTCTGCCTGATGATCCCCAGCTACCGTCATGCACCCTGTTTGGTTATTAGGGATTTCTGATCCCAGGCTTAAAGGCAGTTCTACTGTCTGTGAGCCTATTTGGACTATTTTGATTTAATAAAGCCTACAGAATCTGCAAATCGGTACTCCAAAGTAAATGGGTAGCATTTAGATTTTGATTATGTTGACTTTCAATTACTGCTTAATTAAACCTGTTTGCAAAGGTTCATTTACCAGGGAAATGACCCATTCTTACAGCTAAGCAGCATACCCTTCCTTCTTTTTGGCATTGCCAGCCATCATTGACCTGTGGGCATTTGTCTCGATGCTTTAGGGAAATACTTACCTCTTCAGGTTTTATGTTTAAAAATCAATTCTATTTCTCTAACACCAAGGCAGTTCCTGCTGCCAGCAGATCAATTAGCTTTCTCTTTGAGCAGCCTAGTACAAAGCCCACCGCATTACTCTGCAGCCGAGGGTCACTCAGCACAAGGAACAAGTGCCATTCTAACTGTTTTTAGGATGTGGTGTCTGCAGCACTTGGTTTTCTCCAGCTGCACTTGCAACAAAGAACAAAGGAGAAGAATTTCTCATGCGCCTGAGCTCCCAGCGGTGGTTAGATTGTACTTGAACAGAAAGCATTACATCCTGAGCCTTTTCATCTCCTTTCTCCCCCATTGTTCCTCTTCCAGGGACCATTTTGGATATATCCTATTCTGTGACACTTCCAGCTTATGAAAAATAACTGAGGGGTGTTTCAGGGACATTTTACAAGTGAATGGCGATGGGATAGAAGAGTAACATCAATAAGTGAAAGAACCCATTTTTGTTTTCATAAGTGTACATTTTAAAAGCCTTTTATAAATGGCTTGTCTGTCTTCTTGGAAGACTCTCAGTGCTATGTTCGAGCTCCATGAAGTCTCTGAGCCCTTCATCATTCAGAACTGGACTTAGAGTCCTTTTCATTTGTGGTCTTCAATACCACTTACCAAGGACAAGAAGGATATTTTAATCTACTGATTAATTAATCTTTTTAATCAGCAGAGGCTATGAAGGAAGAAAGATGGGAAGATAATAAAGATGAGCTCCAAGTCTCAATACTGTATCTCAAGAATGGCCAAATGTCAACTCTTTCTTGAATATTCTATCTGCTATGTAGGCTCACATTTGGCTTCTCATTTTTCCAAACATTAAATTATAAGAGCAAATTGTTGAGGAAGGTTTTTAAAATTTTCAATCCTTACAGACTGTTAACATTAAGAGGATGGTGTGACAGTGGGTATGTGTGTGAGTATGTGTTTGAGTGTGTGCGTGGCAAATCTCATTAAACAGAAGAGACAGCCAGTAGAATTTTAGATCTTGAGAAAATATATAGGGAGAAAAAAGCTATCATATAAACAAAAGATGCCTTTGTTAAAATGGGAGTGCTGGAATATATGAGGTCACAAATTCTTTCCAAATCTAACATTATATGACTCTGATTTGCAAAGACGTAACTGACAACCTGGGTTTTTGGTGATGACTCCTGATGTTACAATGTGACAATCCTAAGAACAAACAAACAAAGCTTGCTGCTGGTGTCTGGAACTCTGAGCTGTATCTTGTGAGCAGGGTGGGTGTCCCTGGAGGACCATCAAGCCTACTTCATAAGCTGTCACATCTGCCAGGACTTCAGTGGCATCAGGAGGGAAAACAGCGTCCCACAAGGATGCAAGAACTCCATCAAAGTCAGTTGCCTGAGATATCCCTGAGCTAGAAACAGGACTTAGCTCCCTTGACATCTAGACCTGAATATCCTATTACTCTTTTAACCAGCCAAGAATGATGCGAGGGACTCAGAAAGTAATAGAAGAAAGTCACATTTAAGGACAGTTAAGTAGTATGTACATTGTTTTATGAAAGAACATGGTAATTCTGTCAGAGAGCACAAAATGAGAAAACCTCAGCATTTTCTGTGAGACTTACAGAATACATCCGAAAGAGCCATTGGATGTTGAAATGCACCATCCAGGGAAGAGACAAAAACTTACATTGTGCCCATCTAAAAAGGTGGTGTCCAAATGGCCACACAGAAAGGCAGGCTAGAGACCATTTACCAACGCAGGAGCTTATTGGTATTGTACTATGATATGAGTACCAGGTTGCTGGCATAAGCAGAAATAAAGCTATCTGACTTAAGTAGAAATAAAACAGGACATCAGCCGGTGCCGCGGCTCACTAGGCTAATCCTCTGCCTAGTGTTAACTCTCCGCCTGCGATGCCGGCACCCAGGGTTCTAGTCCCTGTCAGGGTGCCGGATTCTGTCCCGGTCGCTCCTCTTCCAGGCCAGCTCTCTGCTGTGGCCCGGGAAGGCAGTGAAGGATGGCCCAGGCCCTTGGGCCTTGCACCCGCATGGGAGACCAGGAGGAAACACCTGGCTCCTGGCTTCAGATCGGTGCAGCGCGCCGACCATAGCGACCATTTGGGGGGTGAACCAACGGAAGGAAGACCTTTCTGTCTGTCTCTCCCTCTCACTGTCTAACTCTGCCTGTCAAAAAAAAAAAAAAAAAAAAAACAAAAAAAAAAAAAAAAAAACACCAAAAACAAAAGAAACAGGACATAGATAAAGGAAGCATAAATAGAGGAAAATTTGTAGGTGTGATATTACAAATTAGTTAATATTTTACAGATGGAGAAAATTTTTTTAAGTTTCCTACTTAACATCTCAAAACCTAGAATTTACACTTTCCAACAGGCGAGGAAAAGCCCTTAGGAATTTTGCATGATTCAGCGATGCTGGGATCTAGCAAAAAAAAAAAAAAAAAAAAAAAAAAACTTCAGTTTGATTAGACTTTATTTTTTGCATCTGTTTCTTGTTTGTTTTACACCGGCCAACTGTTTCCCTACTGCATTGTGACTGCTCTGGTAAATTCGAATTCACCGAATGTTGCTGGTGATGTTCGGTTTCTGTGTTTCAGGTTATTTCCACACAGTGCTGGCTAAGCATTTAACAGGAGGGAATTCCGAATAGGGAAACTTACCAGCGGTTCCGATGCCTGCACAGGGAAACACCCACTAATGTCAAGTTGGCAGTACTCAGGAATAACGGTCTCCTTTATTGCCGTGTTCCAGACACTGGCAGGGTTCAGCTCAATCACTCCGGGGTGCACAGGATTTTTCATTCAAAAGGGAAAAAGCTGCTAGTGTCCCTGCAGATGGGTATGGGTGCTGCAGCACAGCCTCACACCTGATGTGAAAAATGGGGTTTGGGACGGGCTGAGACTGTTGCCTTTCATTTTAGCAAAAGCTACTAATAATTAAGAGTGAAGCGACAAGGAGAAAAGTAATTTCAAACATAATTTAATACATAGTTTTTATGCCAGAGATTGCCCAGCAGGAAAGAGATTTTTTTTTTTTTCCACAGGAACCCAAGTGCATGGGTTCTAAGCTATTCAGTCACTGTGTCTGGAATAAAGTATTGCAAAATAAATATCTGTTAAATAAGCTGCCCTTTGAGCTTGGGAAAGTTGCTGACTTCATCTGAAAAGTGAAAGTGTGGGATTGTTATTGGTTCCCAGACCTGCCTCTGCTCATCCAAGTCATTTGGGAATCTTTTTAAAAATACTGATTCAGTAGGGTGGGTGGGGCCCATAAATCTGTGTTTTTCCAAAGCTTCCTGGGTTCTTCTGATGTCAGACTAAGTTGGAAACCACTAAACTTTCTGAGATGATCCCTAACAATCTTTGCAAAGAAAAAGCCATAGGCTATGAGTAGGAGTTTTGGGGCAGAATATCCTGGGATATTCAGGCTGGAGAACACCCGTGTGACAGCCCTACAGCCAGCCAAGTGGTGAGGTGTAATTACACTGGTACTGTCTCACTGGGCTTGCTTTGATTTGATGATGTGTCCTCAGGGGGCTGGGACAGGCAGAGGTCCATGGGGAGAACACGTGACCAGGCCATCATCTGCAAGGCTCCAGAGGCAAACGGTCTAGATCCCAGCGTGCCATCTAGAAGCATGTCATTTCTTTCAAAGGGAGAAGTCCTCTTTCTACTGATCTTCACAGTAACAAGCAGAGATAAATGGAGGCACTTTTGAAAGCTGCCTTAACTCTTTCAGCCACAGGGTGTCATTTAGTTCAATAGAGCAGCAGTTAAGCAATTCAGTGACTCACTGCCTCTGTGGACACACCAGCATCCGTGTGGCCTGAAAGAGTTAAGGCATTTTTCAGAAATTCCCGCATCTCCCATGGGGTGAACTAGAATATTTGATTGCTGATATTTTAAACAGCATAATGTAAAGACAAGAGCTTTTATAAGCAGACAGACCCTTGTTTTTCACTAATCCTACCTCTGCTATTCACATGTTTGTAACATAACTTTAAAAATATTACATGATTGTTTTTCGGCCTTTCGGCTAAGATCAAGTGTAAAAATATTAAGTGAGATGATCACAAATATTTTAATAAACATTAATATGTGCATAAGTATAATTCCTGTTACAAATAATAGATCTATTATTAGTAGAATTAATAGACACAGATATGGAATAAAACTAAAATTATAAACCTCATATGGTAATAAGCCATGGCTTTCAGTAAATATTTGAACATTATGAACACTTAATTTTCTAATATATATACTGCCCATTTAACTGAATCCAGCTAAAGTCATATGGATTTTTTAAATTAAAAAATAAATGAAAATATAACAAAATGAACAGAACATGAACCTGTTTTTATTAACACAGTTTTCACTAGTGGAGGTTTTCAATTATACAAGCATACAAATTACTCACGTTAATTATAAATATACATGGAAATATTTATGCTCCACTTTGAAAATGTATCAGTGTAACTCTCCTAAATTACACTGAAGACAGCATAATTGGCCTTGAGTTCTATCACTGCTACTGCTTGAAAAAAATAAAAGCCTCAGTTTGCCTAAGAATAACATGGAGCACCGAATGCCCAGATTTTCCCGCACCAGTACAAGACTGCCCTGGAGATCCTGTATGATCCTACTAAGAGAGTCCTTTGTAAGATCCCAAACTCATTCCAGATGGTAGAGCGGTTTTGAATATTGCCGGGGATTCCCATTGACACATATGTGCTGAAAAACATACTCCTTTATCTGTTGCAGACAAGCAGAATGATGTGGAGATCCCCTCTCCCACCCAGAAAGATCGGGAGAAAAAGAAAAAGCAGCAGCTCATGACACAGATAAGCGGAGTGAAGAAACTGATGCATAGTTCCAGCTTAAACAATACAAGCATCTCACGCTTTGGAGTCAACACAGAAAATGAAGATCACCTGGCCAAGGTGTGTATGCGCTGGGTGTGTGTTGCATGTAGCACTCTGCCTCACAGTAAGCGTATGCCCATCTACCATTTAGCAGATAGTCAGGATTGTCTTTGCTTTGTTATTAAATTTTATAAGGAAGCTGATGAAGCACCTTTGTGCCTTGCTGGGACACCTCACTGAATAGCCTTTTTCCATGTTAGTTTTTTGCTTGTTTGTTTGTTGTTTTGCTTTCTGTCCTGAGTTGGGCTCTGTAAAGGGCAATTTCTCATGAATAAAGAATCCTTCTGAAGGGACACTGAGGAAGTTCAAGGGAAGGCCAGTAGTAGCTCTGTATTATCCCAGAGGACATGTGTTGGGACAGTATGCCAAAGACCAATGGGAAAATCTGCAGTGAGTGGTAGGGCTAGAGCAGAAATGAAGAGACACTGACAGCACTGACTGTGGAGCCTGGATCCCAGCAGTGGAAGAAGGCATCGAAAAAATTCACTCCTCCTCTAAGCAGCTCTACAAAGGCACTACTGAGATCCTCTCAGCTGTGGGGATATGAAATGAGCTTACATGAGCAAGTGAACATTCAGTGACAACTTCTGAAAGCTGTCACTGGAATGAACTTGACAAAATGCTACGCCAATCCTCTGTGGGAGAGCCTGGATCCCATAATCTGGGAAGTTACTCAGAATGGGATAAATTGTCCCCTAAGTCAGATAGCCTTGGAATAATCCCCAAACACAGGTCTGAATGAAGCTTCTTCCAGGTCTACCTGTGGTGAGGGAGTCCTGGGGTATAATTCATGGCTGGCCTTCTTCATGGCCTTTTACATTATATTTCGGTTGAGTTCTGCATGCTGTGGCGGCAGTGGCTCCTTAACCTACTCTTAGTGATAATAAACAAAGGGCAGAGGAGTTTCCATGAGACTGTTTTCTGACAGCTACTAATGGGCCAGTGAGCTGTGAGGGAGAGATAGAACAATGGGACCGGAAAGATCTCTATGAACTTGAGGCTTTGAAAACAACATTGGTTAAGGATTGATGCATGGTAAGGTCAGCAACTGCATTTATAAATCAATAAATGTACAGAAACCTGTAGTTGTGAAGAGGATACCCAACCTCCTGGACTATTCCATTTTCAGACTATCATGCGATTAGAGCACTGTAGATAGAAATTCCAGACGTAGGCAGCCGTTGTCCAAAAAGTTAATGTTTAAAAAATGAGGTTTGCTAACAAAATCGTCCTCATTCTTAAATTTCTCTAAATTCGATTGCAGGAACTGGAAGACCTGAATAAATGGGGCCTGAACATCTTCAATGTGGCTGGATATTCACACAATAGGCCCCTAACATGCATCATGTATGCTATATTCCAAGTAAGTAAACAGTATTGAATGTCGATCATCCAGTTAGGTGTTTCTTCATGATTTTTTCTCATCCCAGTTCACCTTTTTGATTTAAACTTCTTCCATGTTTCAACATCCACTTATTATGTCCTAATCCATTTGACTACACAGGAAAGGGACCTCTTAAAGACATTCAAAATCTCATCTGACACATTTGTGACCTACATGATGACTTTGGAAGACCACTACCACTCTGATGTGGCATACCATAATAGTCTCCATGCTGCTGATGTGGCCCAGTCAACCCATGTTCTTCTTTCTACACCAGCATTAGATGTGAGTAGTTATGATCTATTTTGCATATCTGTCCATGCTCTTTGAAAAATGGAATTCAATATATATTTACAAAAATAGTATAACTGGGTGAACTTGAATCCTTTAACTGGTGCTTTTTAGTACAGCATCCATAAATTGGATTATTTATAAAAATGGATTTCATCTTCCTTTGCCTTCATCAGAGAAACATTTTCTTAACATCCCTTACATTGAAAACTATTTTTTTATTTGACAGGTAGTTATAGACAGAGAGAGAGAGAGAGAGAGAGAGAGAGAGAAAGGTCTTCCTTCTGTTGGTTCACTCCCCAATTTAAAACTATTTAATTATCAAGCAATTAACAAAATCCTCAGTGCAGGGACCATGTAAGGGACTCTTTGTAGTCCCAGTAAGGTGCTACAATGTGTTTCAAATGGATTGGTCTGAATCACCCAACACCATTCCAGGCACTGAAGAGGGAATGACAGGAATGTAATATAACTGTTAAATAAAGTTCCTATTAAGAATAAGTATCCAGGGGCCGCTGCCATGGCTCACTTGGCTGGTCCTCTGCCTGCAGTGCCAGCATCCCATATGGGCACCAGGTTCTCATCCCGGTTGCTCCTCTTCCAGTCCAGCTCTCTGCTGTGGCCCGGGAAGGCAGTGGAGGATGGCCCAAGTGCTTGGGCCCTGCACCCACATGGGACACCAGGAGGAAGCACCTGGCTCCTGGCTTCAGATCGGCGCAGTGCCGGCTGTAGCAGCCATTTTGGGGGTGAACCAACGGCAAAAGGAAGACCTTTCTCTCTCTCTCTCTCTCACTGTCTATCTCTACCTGTCAAAAAAAAAAAAAAAAAAAAGAATAAGTATCCATTGGCTTGTTCTCCTAAGAATTCGTAAAACTGTATGGGGTGAAGAAAAAGTAACTAAAATTCTAGAAGAACAGAGGAATTAGTAATGGTTAAGCAAGGAACGAGGGCAGTGTTCCATCTTACCAGGTATGATTTGAGAAGGTGGCCTTGACTCCTTCCCTCACACATGTGTAATCAAAAACATGCCCAGCAGGCTATGATCTTCCTGGACAGATGGAAATGGTGGCCCCAGGTACATCTAAAATATGCTGCCCTACTCTGAGAGGTGACTGGCCATATCCTATCCAGCCCCAGGTTTGAAGACTCAATCTGGAAGAGAAGACAGTTACACTGTCCTCAACTCTTGCATATTTTCTTTTCTTTTTTTTTTTTTTTACAGGCAGAGTGGACAGTGAGAGAGAGAGACAGAGAGAAAGGTCTTCCTTTTGCTGTTGGTTCACCCTCCAATGGCCTCTGCAGCCGGCGTGCTGCGGCCGGCGCACCGCGCTTATCTGAAGCCAGGAGCCAGGTGCTTCTCCTGGTCTCCCACGCGGGTGCAGGGCCCAAGCACTTGGGCCATCCTCCACTGCACTCCTGGGCCACAGCAGAGAGCTGGCCTGGAAGAGGGGCAACCGGGACAGAATCCGGCGCCCCGACCGGGACTAGAACCCGGTGTGCCGGCGCCGCAAGGCGGAGGATTAGCCTTTTGAGCCACGGCACCGGCTAACTCTTGCATATTTTCTAAAAAAGTAAACCCAAGAAGACTTGAGAGAGTGAGCTAAATCTAAAGGTGTTTGATAAATATCACAGAGTGGGGAAATAGTGTTTATCAATGACCTGCTATTAATGATAAGATACCTACTGTGTGGCCAGAAATTGGCTATGAGCACTACAAAGTTTTTTTTTTTTTTAAGAGTTTATTTATTTATTTGTGAGATAGAGTTACAGACACAAAGAGGGAGAGACAGAGAGAAAGGTCTTCCATCTGTTGGTTCATTCCCCAAATGGCTGCAATGACCAGGACTGGGTCCATCCAAAGCCAGGAGCCTGGAGCTTCTAGGTTTCACAATGGGTGCAGGATCCCAAGCACTTGGGCCATCTTCTACTGCTTTCCCAGGCCATAGCACAGAGCTAGATCAGAAGTGGAGCAGCCAGGACTCGAACCAGTGCTCGCATGGGATGCCAGCACCGCAGGCAGATGCTCAGCCCACTACGCCACAGCATTGGCCCGTGCTACAAACTTACAGAAGGGAGATTTCAACGTGTCCTTTAGTGCTAGGATAGGTCCTGATGGGACAGGTGGACATGTAATGGGCGTTTGAAGGGCCAAAGACTTAAATAGTCACAGAGGATCAGGAAAGACATTTCAGCCCCAGAATCTGCAGCAATATATGCCTAATAATACTAGATCATTTCAGTCATTATGCATGCCTGTGGGCGGAGACGTTATCATGATATTAACCTGAAAGAGTTGAGCAGCAAGGCCTTAGCTACACTTAGGGATGTTCTCAAATGTTGCCCATAGTAAACATTTAGTGAATACGTGTTGGATGAGTGAATTCTTGAACATATTAAAGTTTGTGACCAAACTATAAAGTTAACTTTGGGAAATAATTTATTACTTATCTTATGAATCTGGAATTTGGCCTTTTTAATCTAAGTTACTCAGCCTGAAAGCGTATGGAGGTTGTTATATCAGAGCCAGTCTGACTTGCTTTTTCAACTTGTATGTGCTTGAACATAAGTACCGTGCTGTTATACCACTCCTTCAAGAAGCAAACATCAGGTGTTTGCACACACCGCAAACACTGTGCTGATGTTTTCCAAGCCTCAGCCTACAGGGTTGATGTGGGGATGAGCTAGAGCCATCATCTCCAGCACATCAGAGACTTTATGATAAGGAACAGAATCTACATTTAATTAACTTACCATACTGAGGTGTGTTATAAGTCAACAATACCCTTACCAAGAATGAAATGAGGTACTTTGAAATGAAGTTGAATAACCAGGCTAGGGCAATTGGAGGTGGACCTAACTGTGCTCCCTTGGCTCCACAGGCTGTGTTCACAGATTTGGAGATTCTGGCTGCCATTTTTGCAGCCGCCATCCATGACGTTGATCATCCTGGAGTCTCCAACCAGTTCCTCATCAACACAAGTGAGTTCACCACTAGTACAGATAATTGTATGATTCACTATACTTTATTCCTCCCAAAGTTTTCGTTATGGATAATAACAAGGGTAATAATGAGGTAATCTTCCATTCCACTCAGACGGGTCAGGTCTTTCCTGGATACCATGTCCAGTCTGGCAGCACAATGTTTGAGCTCCATGGAAAACCTGGAGAGGGTCATAGGAGAGCCATAAAAAGTACTCCAAGTTTGTAAAATACAATGTGTAAGGGAAGAATAACAGATGTGGAATTATCCAGTAAAGACAAGGAAGGCCTTGGTAATAATGTGATAATGACTTTCAGTATGATGCAGGGCTCTCACACAGAGCAGAGTAACCTACGCGTGTCCTTCTCTGCTGAGGAAACAGACACAAATGTGGGATCGGAGCATGGCAGCCTCCCAACAATTCCCCGAATGCACTGAAATAGGTTTCCACAGGTCAGAAGGCAGAATCATAAACAGTTCTTCACACTCTCTTCCAACGGCATAGGTTTGTTGCTGGATGGTCTGTAGCGTAGAGGGTGACTCCTGTGACCTTTAGACTTGGTCTGTCCTTAGGATTCCAAATAAAATTCAGAGGTTTTGTCGTGCTCACACTGTTTGGTTTCTATGCTAAGGAGAACTCGCCTGTTCTCTCAGATAATGCACTATCTCTAGGAGCTTAAAATCTGAGTACTTTTTCTTCTGAGAATACTGGTTATCATGCTGTGGTCATGACTGACATCAAGTGCTGACGTTTTAATAGAAATGAGGTTTGAGCTACTTGCAATGAAAGAGTCATCAGTCCTCATCATGACATTTTTACCATGAAACTATCTGAGTAATCTAGGTGTAGGGTGCCCTCCTTTTTTTAATCTCATACTTCTATTGAAAGAATGAAAGCTTTGAGTAGTTGCTTGTCTCCTTTGGTTATACCAGTTGTCATAGTGTGGAGCCATGAATCTATCCATATATATATATGCCACAGGAAAAAAAATGGTCTTTTTTGCTATAGTCACTTGAAGCATTGCAACATATAAAGCCTGCTTTTGGATCTGTGCCCTTGATCACAGTGTGAACAGGCTAGGAGTCCTCAAATGACTTCATGGAGCCTTCCGCCCTTCCTGAGGATGTTCCTGAAAGCCCACTGTTAAATAAATGACCGATGAGGGGCAGAACCTGCAATTAGCAAACACATCACCATCACTGCTTCTTATTCTTGACGAAGAGAAAAAGTGGTTGCCTAACTTTGGTGATCATACTCCCAAGTGCAGAGTTTTGTGTAACTGAAGATTCTGTGATTCTTTTGGGTAAAAGGAAGGCTAGAGGCTGTATCCAGACATTGTAATTTTTGGTGTAGAGAACCAAGAAGACAGAAAATTCAATATCTGAGTTATTCTAAAAAAACAGTTTGGCTATCATATTTATGGGAAGCTCCAAAAAGCTGTGTTATTTAGGTAAAATGAAATTTCAAACCAACATATTATCTTCTCTAAAAATTCGAAAGCCAGATTTGCCAGAGGTAGAAGGTGGCAAAATGAGTGTGGTTTGTAAATCTTAATATATTTGATAAAGTTTAGTGATATTTTAGCCTTTTCCAAAACATAGTATGTTACAATATAAAGGAAATCACAAACTGAAATTTAAACAAATACCTTTTAACTGCTCAGAAGTGTCCTTTCCTGATGTCAAATTCTTTTTCTGTGGTGTAGAATGAAAAAAAAATGAATTTTAGAGATAGTTAATTTTAATCAAAAAGTAAGTTTGTGCTCCAATATCCACTAGAAGAATTTTTTTGCTAGAAACTAATTGTATTCATAGAGGGACACTTCTCTAGGAGGAAATGACATGTGGATGGTGGTTCTTGCAATAATTTGGGGAGAGCTAGATCTGATGCCATGTTGAGGTATTGCCAGTGTTTGGATTGTATCCCTTTGTATTCAGTCATCATTTTTCCTTGTGTGTTAGATTCAGAGCTTGCTTTGATGTACAATGATGAATCTGTGTTGGAAAACCATCACCTTGCCGTGGGTTTCAAACTACTGCAAGAAGAACATTGTGACATCTTCCAGAATCTCACCAAGAAACAGCGTCAGACACTCAGGAAAATGGTTATCGACATGGTAGGAATTCAGCTTCTACATTCCCCACTTACATTTACCCATTCTCTCTGGTAGAGTGAATTTATTAAGAGAGTTTTTTTTTTCTTTCTATCCAAGGTATTAGCAACTGATATGTCCAAACATATGAGCTTGCTGGCAGACCTAAAGACGATGGTGGAAACCAAGAAAGTTACAAGTTCAGGTGTTCTTCTCTTGGACAACTATACTGATCGTATACAGGTATTTAATTTGAAAGGGAAAGCCAAAGCAATTCAAATAACAACTAGAAAAGGAAAAGAAACATAAATTCAGCTTAGTTGTGTGTCCTAGATAGCTACTACATATTAGGGACTATTTTAAGAACAAGCTAAGGAAAGTGAACATTCAAGTTTGTCCTCGAATTTATGAGGAAAAACATAACCCTATTTATTGAATTTCTTACTTCTAAAAATAAATTGCAAGATCTATTTGTAATAGGACATACGTGACTGTTGGTCCCAAAAACTTGTGTTTGGATACAAATCCCATAGACTAGAAGCTTTTAGGTCTGTTTTGGGTTGTACAAATTATCATCAGATGGTCTCCTCTTTCCACAAGTGGAAAATATGAAGACATCTAGTTTGAGTGATTTTTTGCATTCTTTCCAAACTGAGGAAAGGAAACGATAGCAGCATCTGACCTCTTATGTCCCTTTCAGTTTTTAAATTCGATAACTGTCAGCCTGAGAAGACATATAGTTTTGCCTTTGGGACCGTGTAATGGTAAATAAGAAACCCTGGTCGACACCATTGCAAGATTGCATTTCTTGGTGCACACACTGAAATTATTATTCAACTAAAACATTCTTGGGTTTTGACACTGAGCACACTAGAATGAGGAGAAGATGTTCTGGCAGTACGTGCACCTACTTTAGTGAGGTTTCTTAAACTTGGTTGCAGGTCCTTCGCAACATGGTACACTGTGCAGACCTGAGCAACCCCACCAAGTCCTTGGAGCTGTATCGACAATGGACCGACCGCATCATGGAGGAATTTTTCCAGCAGGGAGACAAAGAGCGGGAGAGGGGAATGGAGATCAGCCCGATGTGTGATAAGCACACAGCTTCTGTGGAAAAGTCTCAGGTATCTAATACGAGATTTTCAAAGCTTTTGTGAGCTCTGCTGGTTGTAGAACTGGAGGGTTCTAGCTAGTTCCTTTCCCTTAACAGAAGATACGTAAATGATAGATGGAGAGATAGACGCGGATATGAATATGATGATAATGAAGCAGTTATCTACTTTGTTCCATTATACTCATGACGAATTTCCCTGCTCCATTATGCTCAATTTCACATGGTAGGGACAGTCATCTTTAGAAACCCATCGAAATTTAGACTGTATACCCTCCAACAATTTGGTAACTGCCTGTGACCTAGCAGTCCATGGGATTGGCCTGAATGCTGCTCTCCTCCCATGCATCCGTTCAGATTTCTTCCTGCTCTGTCTTCCCCAGGAGCTCTACTCCTCACCCTGACTTCCAGCATGTTGTTCTTGCTGCCTCTTCATAATCAATACTCTGCTGCCATTCCCAGAGGTAGTCTCATAGTCAAAGCATTGTCCAATGTTCCCTTCCAAGATGCACCTACACATTTTGGAACATGTTGATATTTTCCGGTTGTGTCCAAAGCTACAAGTTCTCATGTGCTGCATATGGAAGACAAAACTCTAAAGAAAAAGAGGGTAGAAATGCCCCAAACATCAATAGCTGAAGAGTATGGAGCACTAGAAAGTGTAGGTGTCCCTACAAAGCCTTCACGGCTCATGGGACTGTCATTTCCTTCAGGCAACACATGGATTTAGCAGGTGGCTGTGATTGAGAATAGTTCTTGGGCTTGTCCATAGTCTTTATCACAGAAACATCAGGAATGCTTTTGGTAGTGTGGATTCCCTTTCCCCACTGTCTACAAACCCCGCATTTACATATACTTCTAATATCACTGTATAGTTCCTTTGTAATTATTATTTTATTGCTTTCTTTGAGAAAACCAATTAAAATCAGTGAAGGTACTCTAAAGTACATCATAAAATGCAAGAGAACATTCAGTTAATCAGGGCCAACTCCAAGATTCTGAAGCCTAAATTGGAGCAAATAAATAAAGAGGAATCAGACTCTTTCACTCGCAACAGTGATGTTTTACATTTATTTGATGCTCTTTTGTCTTTCGTCACATTTTTCTATACATCATCCCATTCGGACCTCCACACAGCCTTATGAGATAGATAAAGCAGCTGTTTTCCCAGTGTATCAGGTGAAGAAGCTGTCTTCTGGATACACGTCTCGGTGACCCCGCTGTCCTCCATCGAGAGCTCTTCACTCCCCACTGTTATGGATGGGGCTCCCTGTTGCCATGACACCATCTTCCCTCTGGTGTTTCCTACAGATGGGCCCTGTTGAACACTGCCTGATGAGTCTCCACTAGGTGCTCTTACAATCTGTGGAGCTCTTTTATCCCCTGATCTAGGAAGGAAACAACTTAGCAGCTACCTTTCAAAAAGCCCTAAACATTTTTCAGCAGGAGCAAAGCAAAGGAAGAAAGGAAATGACTGCACTGTGCTCAGCTTATTCAATTTTCTCCCTTGCCCTGAGCTTATTTCAGGCCCCTGGAAAACACCTTGAAAACAGTCTCTAAAATCCATTAAACACATTTAAAGAAGGAAACAGGAGGAAAAGGGAGTAGGTAGAAGCAAGAGAAATATCTGAGTCATCCACACTTAATTTCTCATAACCGATGCAGATTAGAGATGCCCTGACTTTGGTGTGAATCTTATTTGTTAAGTGCAGGAAAGCACCAGGGTGAAGAATGTATACGAAAAAGCCTCATATGACAAAGGCTTTTGCATATGATACAGTTTAGATGCATTAAGTAACTGGCCAACTACCAGAATGATAATAAAGGGCAGTTTCCAGCGTGGAAAGACAGCTATACAATGTCCCATGGGTGGCCTTGCTCATCTCCTTTTGAATCCTAATGCAGCCTCTCTCTGGTTCCCTAGACCATGACAGGGGAATTCCATTCCCTCATTCAATGAGTGCCTATTCTTTCTTTCTACCTGCCCTTCCCCCAGTGTTTCCTGTTTGTCCGACAATGTGGAGGTCAGCATAAGGCCACAGAGCTAGCTCATGCAGGATGCATAGCCCCTGTGTAAACCATAACAGAGCCATAAGCCTCGTATTTATTCACAGGAACACAGCAAGAGGAACTGCTTAATTGTTTTCATTCGCCCTTCTTTCTCCTGATGGAAATGACTGTGTGTTCTATACATCCAAAACAATTGTAGACGTGTTCACAGAGGGGATCTTTGTTTGTTTAGGGGTATGAAGGATTTTCAAGTGTTTTATTGAACTCTGCTACGAGCCAAAAGCATCCCACGGAGCTTGAGAAATCCCATAGTAGTCAGGGGCCAGCTCCCCATCATTTTGGCACAGCGGCATCGTTTAAAGGTATCAGGGAAAGAATGTTGAGTCAGACTCCCTTAGACCTGGGGCTTCCTTCTTCAGAGGATGACTCAGAGAATGCAAGCAGTGAAAAGTCCTTCCCAGCCAGGCTTCCATCCAGCCTCCTGAACCTGGCACAAGTCAGAGGAAAAGCAATCTGTTGTAGTGAGACAAACACAGGCTCTGGATTCAGACCCTGGCTACGCTAAGTCCTAGCTCCACCACGTATTAATTACATGAGCTCTAACAAGATATTTAATCTCAGTGAGTCTTAGTGTCCTCCTTTGCAAAGGACAGATACCGGTACTTACTTAGCAGGGTTTAGAGGGATAATTCATATACTGCATCCAGTGTAGGACCAGCCATACCAAAAAGTGCTCAAATCGTGGAATCCGTTATTGTGATAGATCTTCCTGGCTTTGTTATTGCCCTCCGTTTGCAGGAGAGACCAGGAAAGCTTGTGTGGTGTTCAAGGGCTCATCACCATAACAGATGAATCCTCTTCTTTTTCTCCAGGTTGGGTTCATTGACTACATTGTCCATCCACTATGGGAGACCTGGGCAGATCTGGTGCAGCCTGATGCGCAGGACATTCTGGATACGTTAGAAGATAACAGGAACTGGTATCAGAGCATGATACCCCAGAGTCCCTCCCCGCCGCTGGACGAGGGGAACAGAGACTGTCAGGGTCTCATGGAGAAGTTTCAGTTTGAACTGACTCTCGAAGAGGAGGATTCTGAAGGACCTGAAAAGGAGGCCGAGGGCCACAGCTACTTCAGCAGCACAAAGACACTTTGTGTGATCGATCCAGAAAATAGGGATTTGCTGGGAGAGACTGACGTGAGCATTGCGACAGAAGACAAGTCCCCAGTTGACACATAATCTCCCTCTCCCCGTGGAGATGGACATTCCACCTTTGACAAGCATGCCAGCTATGTGGCAGGGTCAGCCTGCCATGGGGGCCGAGGCCTGCACAGGACAAGGGCCACCTGGCCTTTCCAGTTACTTGAGTTTGGAGCCAGAATGCAAGGTCATGAAGCAAATAGCAGCTCAGGAAATCCCACACTTGACTTGCCTAGCTTGCAAGCGTGGTAGAAAGCTGAAGCTTTATGTGGTAGTGGAGGCCAGTTTCGATCACAACTAAATGGCTTGAAAATGGAAGACACAAAACTGAGAGATTTTTTTCCGCACTAAGTTTCAGGAACCTGTCCCTGCTAGTGAGTGAACTTACTAATAACTTCATTGGTAAATCTGCTCCCCTGTCCCTTTGTCTGCCAACCTGTGTGCCTTTTTTGTAAAACATTTTCACGTCTTTAAATGCCTGTTGAATATCTAGAGTTTAGTAGCAACTTCTACACAGATAAGCATTCAAAGTTGACATAATCTTTTTTTTGGCTGTTTCTGGGGAGGAAAAATAAAAGGAAAAGACACGGTCTTCCTTCTTTCTTGGGCAATATCTTTCACTTTACTACAGTTGCTTGCAAACAGACAGAGAGGATACACTTCTAACCACATTCTACTTCCTTGCCCTGTTGTCCAATCCAGCTCCACCAGTTGCCCTTATACTTATCTCTGTTTGCCTGCTTCTAACAGTATTTCTTCTCGTCTAGAGTTTCACTGTTTTGCTGTAAACAGAATAAAGTTGAGCAAACTAGGGGGTAGGAAGGGGTAGTTGTATTGTACACCATGACCATCTGTATCAAACTCAGCTCACTAAGGCAGTGTGTCCTATTCTGTCCTGGACCCCTTGTGCCACTGCGAGTTGCATGGTCCCCCGGCCCCCGCCCTCCTCTCTTCACCCAATGATGCTGTTTTCAACTTAATGCTGCCGTCTTTCTCTTGCACTGCCTTCTGCACTAACACCTCCATTCCTGTTTATAACCATGTATTTATTACTTAATGTATATAATGTAATGTTTTGTAAGTTATTAATTTATATATCTAACATTGCCTGCCAATGGTGGTGTTAAATTTGTGTAGAAAACTCTGCCTAAGAGTTGCGACTTTTTCTTGTAAGATTTTGTATTGTGTATTATATAACCCAAGCACTGCTTCAGAGCGACGTATGGCCCCCGCGGCAGTCACGACCTGGGGCTTTTGTTTAGAGAGTCTGCCTTTTCCCTGTCTGAGTTGTTAATAATGCACCAAGCCCTTTATGAACCGGTTTTGCAAACAGGATTCTCACATTAGATACTAAATGGTTTATACTGAGCTTTTACTTTTGTATAGTTTGATAGGGATAGTGGGCAATGGGATGTAGTTTATACCCATGTTCTATCCAAATCTGTATACGCGTGAGTTGGGTTCTAACTGGGTTCTACTCTAATTGTGACTTCGGTTCCAAAAGCAACACTACATTTGCTCACAGATGATTCTTCCGCGTGTTCACAAACTACTGACTTTGAAGAGCTAGCCTCCTGCCTGCCATTGTGCAGGGATGTCATGTTCCCATTCATTACAAAAGAAAACAATAAAACAATGTGAATTTTTATAACAAAATGTGAACTGATGTAGTATCTTACGCAAATGTGAAGCTTCTTCTGATAACACTTGTTAGGCCTCTTCCTGGTGTCAGTTTCAGTTTGTAAAATACGTTCCAGGCTTCAGTTCAGCATTGTGACTCAGTAGTTGAAGAAAATGGCACAAGTGGGCATGACCAATGGGTTTGTGTGTCTATGAACGCTGCGTTGTTTCAGGTGGACATTTTATTTTCTCAAGCGTTTCTCACAGTGTATGTTATAATATTATTATATATTGTGCGCAAATGCATTCTTAAGAGACTTTTATATGAAGTGAATAAACAAACGCATGATTAGATTAGATTTGATTTGTAGGCCCGATTATTTCATGGTTGGTTCTGATCTCTTCTTCTCGTCTCTCTTACCCCAGCCGACCACTCTGCTGGCCAACATTACGCAGCTGAACTTTCAGAATCCGTGTCCAAAAGTCCCCCCAAGCTTAGAATGTTTCACTTCTTTCTTAGCAACGGTTCACTCAGCTCAATGGTGCAGGAAAGCGGTTGGTGAAGGGAAACAAACAAAACCACTTTGTTCACCTTGAACCATTTCCTCCTACCTCTTTAAGAATGTGAAGTGTTTAATCTACCAGATAAATAAAAGGAATCCTCAACTTGGCTGAGTCCTTTAGAAAAGTGAATCACAGGCTCATAAAGCACAAGGGAGATTTACTCAGGTAGCCTTGTTGACTCACGACACATGAAGAATCTCAACTCCAAAGAACTCTCACCACCATCCAGAGAGCACAGGGGGACCGCATGGTCTTCTCAGTGATCTGTGCCGTGCCTGGGATCATGTGGTTGTGCTCTTCTTTCTGGACTGAACTGTTTAAATATCACAGGTGAGGTACACAAATGCTCCGTTGGAATCTTAAAGTCTGTATTTAAATAAATGTATCCTGAGACTGGTGTTGCGGTGCAGCAAGTTAAGCCGCCACCTGCAACACAGGCATCCCATAGGAGTGCTGGTTAAAGTCTTGGATGCTTCACTTCCTATCTAGCTCCCTGCTAATGGGCTGGGAAAAGTAGTTGAAGATGGTGGCCCCAAGTGCTTGGTCTCCTGCCACCCATGTTGATGACAGTAAAACTACTTAACAGGAAGAACATAGGTTCTATGCCATTTACCTCTCAATTTCTCTCACTCCATTGAAATGATTTGTCCTCAGATCTATCTCCCCGCTCAACAGTGAACCCTTCCGAGAAAAGTCAATGATTTTTGTCTGTTTTCTCTTTTAATCTTTCTATTCCTCTCCAACAAGCACTGGGCTGGTCTTAAGCAATAACAGTGCCCAGTGATGCTTCTTGAACTAAGAATCCCAGAAAAACCCTCTCCATTTAAATTACTTGCAAAATATGTCCATCTCCTGGCTGGGACTTGTGTCCCAGACTTTTTCCTGCCACCTTTTTAGCTGTGGGAATTTAAAGAAATAAAAATTAGTTTGCATCAAAATAAACTTATCTTTTTTGCCGTAACTTCAAGCATATAATTCTTTTTCTAATCTCCTTTTCCAATTGAAGATAGAACCCACATTTCTCAAGTTTTTGACTTTGTGACCTTGAGAAAGCTTATATGACTTTTCTGTGTCTCCTCATTTGTAAGATAAAGCTAATAATGACAGTACCTAAATTGTAAGATTATTGTGAGAATGAAATGAATTAAAATTGTCAGGAAGCCACTTGAGGTGCCTGCATTCCATATTGGAATGCTTGGGTTCAAGTCCACCTCAACTTCCCATCTAGCTTCCTGCTAATGTGCACGCTGGGAGGGAGAACTGGATTGAGTTCTGAGCTCCAGGCTTCAGCTTGTCACAGCCCTGGCCATATCAGGCATTCAGGAAGTGAACCAACAGATAGAAGATGTATATCTGTCTCTCAGGCCTTTCAAATAAATGGAAAAAATACAAATAATAAAAACTATAAAATATTTAGATAGTGTGTGGTTAATTGTATACATTTACAGGACTATATTACATATAGCTAGTGGTAGCTCATTTTGAATATTGTAGCTTCTTCAACAATTTTTTATATGACTATGTACACTATTCTGGTCCAAATATCTTGGTGTGCTCAAATTGACACTGCTTCTCCTGTGATAACCAAATATCACATTCATCCATGGTAGGGCACACTGTGACTCTTGCCCTTCTTATTCTGGGCACCATTCCATAGCCCAAGATTGTGTTCATTTGGGGGGATGTCAGTTACTCAACTGGATGATTCAGTAGATGCTTACAGACAGACAAAACCCTTCACACTTTTTCACATGAACTGTTAAGCTGAATCAATACGTTCTGCACTTGTGCAATTGAGTTTCTGACAGAAAGTACCAAATCAATCTTTTCTGATACATTTTAGCTAAAAAAAAAAAAAAAAGGCAAAGTATAGGAAAGAGGGTTTTCAGTTTGGGTGTCAGATTGACTTTTTTTTTAAGATTTATGTATTTATTTGAAAGACAGAGTGACAGACAGACAGGGAAAGATAGACAGAGAGATCCTCCTGCTGGTTCAGTCTTCAAAATGGCTGCCAAGAGTTGGAGCTGGTCCATGGTGAAGCCAAGAGCCAAGAACTCTGTACTGGTCTCCCACATGAGTGGCAGGGATCCAAGAACTTGGGATATTTCTACTACCTTTCCAGATGTATTAGCAAGGAACTGGATCAGAAGCAGAGCAGCCAAGACTTGATCCAACACTCCAATACGGAATGCTTGTATTGCAGGCAGCTTAACCTGCTGCATGACCATGCCAGTCCCATAAGATTGACCTATTTTTAGATCTAAGCTCCAGAACTATCTTTGTGACCTTACAGAAGGCACTGGTTTGATTCTGAGTTTATGGAGAAATGACAGCCATATCAGAGGATTATTTAGAAAGACTAAGTGAGATAACTCATACAAAGAGTCTGTCACATTCCATGTATACAATAAATCAGAGTAAGTTAATAATACTAATCCACTACTATGATGATTAACTGGGATTCTATGTACATGGAAAATCTTCATAGTATTGGCTTTAATCTATCACTTTGTTTTTTAAAAAACATTTATTTGAAATTCAGAGTTATACAGAGAGAGAAAGAGAGGTCTTCCATTTGCTGGTTCACTCCACAACTGGTTGCAATAGTAAGAGCCGCGCCAATCCGAAGCCAGGAGCCTGGAGACCCTTCTGGGTCTCCCACAGGGGTGCAGGGACCCAAAGACTTGGGCCATCTTTTACTGATTTCTCAGGCCATAGCAGAGAGCTGGATCAGAAGTGGAGCAGTCGGGACTCGAACTGGTGCCCATAGGGAATTTGGTACTGCAGGCAGTGGCTTTATCTGCCATGCCACAGCGTCGGCCCCAATCTATCACTTTAAACTGAAAAATCATTTTAAATTTTGATTCTGGCAATTCATTGCTATGCCCCACCACAAGCATTTGTGATCTCCATCATTGACAATAATGTATTTTATATTTTCATTTATATTTAGTGAAACTATTTCCCATGCCAAGGCCAAGACAAGGGATACAGAAATGTTAAGCCACCAGTCATCTTTCAGATCAGAATTGATCTTAGTTAATGTCTCACTGGCAAGGTTGCTGATTTAATTAGAGTATTCACTTGTGTATACCGTCATTTAGGACAACTTGACCAAAAATACATCAGGAAAAAAGGGATCAAAATCTTTTTAGAAATGTACACATATTGTGTCTGAAGCCTTTCCCTCCTGCATAAAATTTATTAACCCTCAACTAACGAAGACTATGGTAGTCTGACTTGTCCTGAGAGAACGCATGCTAGTTACTTCCCTCTCAAATGGCCTACAAACCAAATGCTTACAATTTATTCTAGAAATTTTCATGCAATTGATGTTTTACTTGAAAATCTGTATTTCTAGACTCTGACTTTCTGAAGAGTGGACTGTATTTGTCTAACACACACATTCAGATTTCTGGCCTATTTTTTTTTTTTCACTCTGATTTCTCAAAGATTGACAATTATGAACCAAAACCGTGTATCAATCCCTTCCAGTGTTTTGGGAAATCTTGTGCCCAGATGTCCTAAACCTCTTACTCTTCTAACATCTCATATGGCTCACCTCAGGGGAGAACGAAGAAGACCTGGGAGTGTAGCAAGAGCTAAGAGAGAAACTTTGCTTCCAAGGTCTTCATTTTGGGATATCATTTTCTGATTCCCAATTAATACCTAAATTTTTTAAGGCACTGTTCTTTTTTATTTTAATTTTTTAAATTTATTTTTTGACAGGCAGAGTTAGACAGTGAGAGAGAGAGAGAGACAGAGAGAAAGGTCTTCCTTTTTCCATTGGTTCACCCCCCAAATGTCTGCTACAGCTGGTGCTGTGCTGATCTGAAGCCAGGAGCCAGGTGCTTCCTCCTGGTCTCCCATGCTGAGGCACTGTCTCTGTTTCTTATGCTTTGAAGGATCTAGGAAAATATGTGCAAATAAAAAATTCAACAATATTTTTAAAGTGCTGAAGTAGAGGTACACATGAAAAATGCAAAAATGGGAGGTAACCAGAGAGCATTTATCATAGGAGGATAAGGTTGAATCTTCAAGGAGGAGTGGGAAGAGGTCAACACACCCAAGGGATCAGGAGAGGAAAGGCAGCAAGACCTGTATTCCAAGTGGAAGGAAGAGCATGTGAAGAGTGAGGAACATGAGAGATTATTTTCAAGACTCATTCATACATTCATTCAGTTCAAAAATTCTTACTGAGTACATTGTGCCAGGGACTCTACTGAACACTGCAGATACAGAAATGTACAGAGAAAAATCTTCATGAAATACAGCTGCAGTTGGGGAGACAAATGTTAAAAAATGTTTTAAAGTGAATGTATTATTAGGAACTAATACAAGTTCTCCAAAGAGTAGAAACTCAGCTATGTAAGAATAAAGATAAGAAATCGCCTTGGCCAGTTTGTAAGGAAAAGGGGAGAGAAGATTTTTTTTTTTTTTTTTTTTGACAAAAACAACTTGTACCAAAGCCCTGTAGTAGGAGGCTGCAGAGCGTCTAGGAGGAAGTGAAAAGATCGGTGAAACTTGTGGTACAGAGGAGTAAGAAATGATGCTGGTGAGGTGGCACAGGCCAGGTCCCTTAGGATCCAGGGGGTTATTAAAAGAAGTTTGCTCTTCCTTAAACACATGGGAATCCACCAAAATTTTACGTAAGGAAATGATATGATCAGACTTCCATTTTGGAAACTATACTATGCCGACAATAAGGACTGAAGGAGAGAAGAAAGCAGCCTAGTGCAGTTGTCAAGACTAAAGTGGAGCTGTGAGGATAGAGCTATGGATGCAGACAGTTCTT